AGAGAGCAGAGCAATGGAGAATTCTCCCACCAAAACCTTTTCTGTCCAACCTCTCTGGGGAGTGTTAGACAGACACTTTTTCCTCACACAAATGCCAGACACACAGAAGATACTGTCTGGCATTAGAGGAAAGCATGTTCTGAGGTGCTGGAATCCAGCTGCTCCTCCTCCATTCATGCCAGTAAAAAGAAAAATATTTTTCTCCCCTTCTGCACTCATAAGAGTCAGGCAGGACAGGATAAGGGGACAAGGAGACAGTATTTGGAAGAGGAGGGGACACTGGAATCATGGGAAGCCAGAGTACATGTTTGCTGAGAGCTGTAAGCCAAAGGCTAACCATTAAAGCAACTGTGATATACCCTTGCTGAAAGGGGCAAAGCTCCTGCCATGCCAGGTAGGTAAAAATAAGCACTGTTTTCAAATGATGCAGTGCAGTTATCTGAGTCTCCACTTGTCTGCTTCAGGATGCCATCTGATTAAGGACAGTCTGCAGCACACCTGGCTGAGGTAGTGTATGCTGGATCCCACTGAAATTGTTATTTCAGGAAAAAAAATCATTAGCCCCCCCACATTTTTCCTGGGAAGAACACACAGATAACAAGCACTCTCTGATGTGCCATTAGGACTCAAAGGGACATTAGAAAATGTCAATTACTTTAAAACCCCAAGATTGCATGAATATTCATTAAATAATTGTCTTCAGATCAGTTATTTGGTACAGGAGAGGGTGTGACTGAATCAGGTCATCAAAACTAAACATGCACAGACATGACCACATTCAGCATCCATAGCATATTGTGCACAGTCTTCCACTCACTGTCCAGGCAGTGAGTGGACCAACAGACTCCAGTTGCCCTGATTAGCTTGTGACCATCCTTCTCTGCCACTTTTCTTGCAACTGCTTTCCCCAGGCTGAGGGGCTTAGCTGACTGTGGCCAACCCTGGCTTTGCCTTGAGAACCTAATGTCTGTACTGGTTGGAGGTCCTATGCCATCAGCGTGGACCTCTGAGGTGATGGCTGGACAGCTGTTTGGACCTTGTGTGGGATCTTGTGGGCCCTCTGTGCCTATAGCTAAGTGAAAACACTTAACAGCAAAAAGGAAGCAGAAGCCAATTTTGAAATGGTTTCTCAAGCCAGCTGTTCTTTGCCAGCTAGAAGAGCTAAGCACATGAGCATCTTCCCCTCTAGGTAAATCTCTGGGAGTGTGCTGGTCTTCTGACAAAATTAAGGAGCATTGGCTAATGCCTGACTCCACCTTATTCATCCCTTGAGTTGATGGGGGTTCCCCCAGTGAAATTTGGCCTCCCTGTAATGCATGTCTATTCCTTCCACCTTCTGCCAATAGCTATTTTTTGTAGGTCTTCACACCTTCTTAACAGACAAACTTTCTTATTTTTGTTCTACTGTAGTTTTCTTTACTTGCATTTACCAAATCCTCTGCAAGAGTATGGACTTTAAATTGTGTTGCTATTGTAATGTACCAAAGAGCTTTATCTGAATCTGAGGCTACAGAGACCAACCTTGCTTTGCAGCCCTTTGAAATAGGGCTGAGAGCATCATGTAAGCTGATGAAACAGCAATTTCAAACTACAAAGCACAACTTAGAAATCATATGACAGGCCGACTCCACCAATCATTGCCCATGTATGCAAAGATGTACCTTTTTATGACATTAGTTATGAGTATTTATTAGGTTTGGGTATTTATGGTTGGGGGTTATTCAGAATGTATGAAATGGTACTTTCTCTCTGGTATATTTCAGATGAAATTATTAAAGTTTTTAAAAAGGGCACTTTTATGGCATTTTCTATTTGTGATTAATTGAACTTATGTATGAAGAGGCTCCTTTGGACTGCAAAAATCTCCCAGGCTAAAGGTATATGAGGAGGAACAAAAATGTGATTTTTCGTATGATGCAAAGAAGTTTTCAAATAAACAGAAATTAGAATCAGTAAGTACAAGGTCCTTGTGTTTATCTAGCAGTGTATAAGCTGAGTGGTTTAAAAAGGAATAGACTTCTCCTGGGGAAAATATCAACAGAAAATTGCAAGAAACAGCGCAGTTCACTCCATGAGCTTCACTTGTGAAGTCCTTTGCACTTTATGATTCTGTTTTCTTGGGTTTTGGTGGGTCTTGGTTTTTTGTCGGGTTTTGTTGTTGTTTTTTTTTACTCCCCCCAAGTGTACTTGGGAAGTCTGGGGCTTGGAAACCTCCATTTTACTGCAAATGCACCCAGAGTACATTTGAGGATGATGTTCTCCCTCGCTCCTGTTTTCCTGGTCATCCTTCCATTGGCTGATCTGCAGTTTTTAAAATCTAAGGATTTTCTCCTTAAATGCCATTTGTCCTTTTTTTTTTTTTTTTTTGATACTTTAATTATTTTTGTCAGCCTTATATGACCTTGTAGCAAGATAGTGCTCTTGCTATATTATCTGACTATCTTGCCAGATGGCAACAAAGGAATTCTTCAGTACTTGTGAATTAGTTTGATATCACCTGTCAGTGAGAGCTTACTTAGGGTGTAAGATAAAGGTTCATGACCACAGCATTGGCACAGTGATTTCTGCTGTGTATTTCCTGTAATCACCATATGCAGTAGATGATTATCTGCTTGAGTTTGTACCTTAGCATGAAGTTAAAAAAGAAATTTAAAAAATCCTGAAGGAAAAGTGAGTATCTCTTCCAGATGGCAATGAAAACATTCTCTCCCTGCCAGAATTTGTAAAAGAGGATACTTTTCTTGCAAGATTAAAGCACACCTCTCTGGCAATGCTTTAAGGTACTGCTGCTTCAAGGCAAGAGACAACATTTCTCATCTTGCTCAGATTTCAGACATGCACTCCTTGTGACAGCTGGCTTCCTACTTGTGTACCTCTGAAATTGCCCTAGATTAACATAAAGGTTATTTAGATGTCTGAAAAAGGTTTGGAAATACTGAAAGTATAGCAGAACTCTCCTGAGTACTAAATCTAGTAATTTTGTGGTTAGAATTACTACCAAGAAAGGACTTACAGCAATGCTGGAAAAAACAGCAGTATGTTGTTGTTGTGTGGTCAGTGTGACTTCTTTTCATCATAGCCAGAACACTGCTGAAATTGAGTTTAAAAGGGCATCCCAGAAGTAGACACAGGTAAGTGAAGCTGCGGCAGCTTTCATGTTATGGATGAACACAGAATTCAGTGAGAAGTAATACTGTCATAAATCATCAGAAAGGTGTAAGTCAGAAGCAATGGCATCATTCCAGATGTGAGCAAAGCAGAGGGAGCAGAGCTTTGTCTCCTATTTCTACCATCCCTTCCACTGAGTTCCTGTGATGGGTTTGACTGGTATGGAGTTAATTTTCTTTATAGTAGCAAGTACTGGGGGTGGGGTGGGGTGGGGTGTTGGATTTGTGCTGGTTTCCGCTACTGCTGAGCAGTGCTTACACAGAGTCAAGGCCTTTTCTGCTTCTCACCCCACCAGCGAGGACTAGAGGTGCACAAGGAGTTGGGAAGGAGCACAGCCAGGACAGCTGAACCCAAATGAACGAAGGGATATTGCATAACATATGGGTTCATGAGCAGCACACAAAGCTAGCGGAACAAGGAAAGGGGGGAACATTCAGAGTGTTGGTGTTTGTATTCCCAAGTCACTGTTATGGGTAATGGAGCCCTACTTTCCTGGAGATGGCTGAACACCTGCCTGCCCATGGGAATCAGTGAATGAATTCCTTGTTTTGCCTTGCATGTGTGTGTGGCTTTTGCTGTACCTCTTAAACTGTCTTTATCTCAACATACAAGTTTTCTCATTTTATCTTTTCTGATTTTCTTCCCCATCACACTCTGGAGAACTGATCAAGTGCTTAGGTGGGGATTAGTTGCCAGCTGGGGTTAAAGCACATACATATATACTTTAGTGATTTGGTATCTTGTGCTTGACTGTTATCCATCAACTCCTGGTTCAACTTATGGGCAATTTCCATTCCTGAGAAACTTACAAAGATTTTTATCCATAACAGAACTTTTATATGTGCACTGTTTGCAACATTATGTTCTGCTAAACCGTGAGCCCAAAATGCTCACTAAAGCTTTAGTGACTCTTCATTACAAAAATTGCTATCCAGTCCTAATTACTAATGTTAGTGGGTGGGCCGCGATGCAACAGCAGTGGTTTCAGAGATTAATATTTTTTTGTTATTGCTATTATTCACAGCATTTCCAAAAGAGTAACACAGCTCTGCTTCAATTTTTGGAAAATAAAAATAAAAATAACATTTTCAAACATTCACCACCAGTTAAACAGAAGGTTGCTTCTAGGACACTCCTTCGGCAGCTGGGAGAATACTCCCAAATGGTGATCACGAAGCTTGCTGTAGAGTCGTATTAAAAATTGTTTGAATTTTATGATAATTTATCCAGTTCAAATAATGCATTCTATTTGTATACCTTTTTCCCTTTGTTGCCATTATTGAAACAGCAAGATTTCTGAAGAAATAAAATAGGCATCGTTAGATGTTAACTACAATCAATTAGTAAGGTCAGTAGCAAAAGCATTTATCAACTGAGAAATAAAGAATGTATTTGAACTATTCAGGAAAATACTAAACTTGTGGCTGAATAATTAGACACTATTAAAAAAAAAGTGTAATTTCACTAACTCTACCACTGTGCTCAAAATCCTTCTCTTTAATGTATGGTGAAAACACATAGCTCAATGCAGGAATGGTTTAAAAAACTTAGCTCAAGAATGAGAATCATAGAGTAACTTCAAGTGTATAACAACAGCCATGTCAAGTTAACATTTATTCCTCAGTTTGTGAAATTATTAAAAGAGTACAGAAAAAGATATCAAAAATCTAGAGAAAGTCAACAGTTTTGAAGTCTGTACTTTAGAGGTTTTAATATGAATGTTGGTACTCATTGAAATCAAACTGCACTTGAACGAAAGCAAAGTTGGAACAAATACTTTGAAATATTTTTTTTTTCTTCAAAACAAGCCCTACCATTTGTACCATTCTTACCTGCAGAGGTTTTCACAATTTCTGAAGTGTTTCTGAGACCCATAAAGTCAAACTGATAGAGTCTCCAAGATTTCTGGTCAGCAGCCTCCACAGAGTTTTTCCTCCATCTGTATATCATTTCCTCTTTAGGGTAGCCATCTAGAAATTAATATATATATATATATGAATACATTGCATGACATGGAAAAAGGTACTGTAAAACAGTATGTGTTCACTGATGGAGTTATTTGGGAATACCTAAATTTTTGATCTGATGCTTTCCCAGTGAGTTTGGTTGCGTAATTCATCTAAAGAGTTATATGGCAATTGAAAAAATAGATTCATAATACTGGCAAAACTGTGATTTTTCACAATTTTTTTTTTTTATATAATTGAGAAAAATTCAGATCAGTTTTATCAGAAGCAAATCTCTTCAGAGATGCAGTTGAGATCCAGAAAAATATACTACTTTATGTATGCTCTGAAGAAGCTGTGCAAGCAACTAGAAAGTGAAAAAAAGTGGGGTGTCCGGGGAGGGAGGCAGGGCCAGTGTAAATCGTAAACAATTGAAAAGGACAGATGCTTTTAAACATGACAATAGTTCTAGAGTGATGCATGCCACTGTACATCTAAAATGAGATCAATATAGTGCAAAAAAGTAAAATTTTAATTACTATGGCATTTTTAAAGTGATTAGCCATCATATTATTTCTAATGGCTCTGATATTTAATGAGACATCACCTGATACAGCTGAAATAACTTCTGAAAGTCTTCATTTATCAACTTAGCTCTCAGTAGTCATAATTAATCCTTATGCCAATATTTAATTTCCTTTTTGTTAGAGAATGCCATTTTCCAATAGAATTCTAACAGCAAATCGTCAAACAGCCTAAACCGTAATAAGACCACCTAGAAAACAAGTGTGTCCATGCTAGTTAAAAAAAGATTGTTCTCTAATGCATAAGATAATAAATTCTTATTTATCTAATAATTAATATAGTAGATGTAGATTACACGCAAAATTAAAAACCTAACAACAACAATAGCCAGCTCATATAACTGTCTTGTCAGTAATTTTTTTTCCCCATTAAATACTGATGGTTTTTCATATTTGCATTGCAAGACAACTTCTCTGTTCATGGTGCTATATCCTTGACATTTTCCTCCTAAGACTGTCTTCTTCAGCTTGTTTAAGATTCCATCCTGCTGGGGCACTTCTGTAAGGTGTGCATGGCCTCATTTATCCCTCTCACTAACACAGCATGAAAAGTACCCACAAGTCTCTTAGCTCTAATCTGTAGAAAATGACTATGTGTTTATTCAAAATGTCACGTTCATATATTTCCCATCAATGTAAAATAACAAAATAACCCACAAAGGACTCAACTGAGGAACAAACACAAGCCCTGCCATTCTCCATGAGAACTCTTGCTGTCAAGTTCATTTGCTGCCAATTCTGCTGTGCCAGTCTGTAAGACTGATCTAAAGGTTAATTTTTTTTGGCTGGCTGACTATGTCAAAGGATGCAGAGGCACAGTGAAAGAAGTCAGATTCTGCAGGGCCTTTTGAGCCTTAGCCCTGCATCCTCTTAAGTCCTTTCAAGTCTGGCTCCTATTTGACTGAGCCCTCTGATCATATTGCTCATTGAATAACGTGTCTTTCTAAGAGAAAGCCTTTTTCTCAAATTGACTTAATCTGTAGAGAGTTTGGTATGAGAATTTGGTATCTTTTCCCCACAGTTCAGGAGGGAAGAATCATCAGATGGACTCCTCACCATGCTGTGCCTGCTGTGTCCTCACTCTGGACAGTGGTGGCAGAACTATTCCTTCCCCACAAAGCAGTATCAGGACTACATGGGGGACTGCCATGTAGTCTGAATCCTAATTGTACCTCCTGATTTGTCTCCTGATGCAGAAGAAACAAAATCCTTGCCCTGTTGCACAACTCACACTGCAGAACTTGTGACCCTAACTGCTAATTAGGAGATTCTATAGCAGGCAAAAGGACTCCTTTTCTCAGGTAAATTTCAGCAAAATCATTGCAAGTAAAAATGCTTCAAATATCTTGGAAATAATAAAGATTTTCTTTTTTAAAAATATTGATCCAAGATGAACTTTTTATATATTTTTTCAATTTACTGAAAAAGTTGTGACAAAACTTGAATTCAGTTTCCTCCTGATTTTTTTTTTTTTTTTGCTTTTTTTCATCCCAAAAATCCATTACACCATTAGTAAGCTTGAAAGGTTATCCAAGGCATAGCTGTTCATCCTCACATGAGCTGCATGTAGTCAAGAACAAGTTCATAAGACTCTTATCTTTCAGCATTATTCCCATATTTGTGCCTAAGAAGAGACAGATTCAATTTCAGAACAACTACTTTCTGTATAATTCATCATTATTAAACAGTAAGCAACTGACTTCAGGACAACATCGTGCCCTTTCAGTAGTAGTTCCCTTAATCTACAGTCACTAACATCTGCTCTTACAGTAGTTGAGTTACTTACATCAAAGGAGATAAGTATTAGTGATTCAATGAGAGTTGTTTCAATCTGCTAAATAACTGCTGTTATGTTCTGCTCCAGTGACAGGTGACTTTACTTCTCAATTAATTTAAGAGATATAATATTTCTGATGGAATAATGACACATTTGCACAGCATATCACTCCTAGGATTCATTTAACTTACAAAATGGACTATTGCGATGGTCCTTTCAGCAATATATTTCCTGTATACAGACTAATCTCTTCTATCCCTCATTATAAAAATATATCCTTCACTATAGAAATTATCAGAACTGGGGAATTCATTAGTTCCACACACAAATGCAACCTCTGCTCTTCAGCCCACAATATAACTAAGTATATTAACTATAAAAATATCTGGTTTCTTTCACTTCCCCAGCATGACAAATGGCAGTAAATTGTGTTTAAATTCTTCACATTGTGGATTCAAGCCATCCACGTTAAACAATTTGCTATCAAGTGTATTTACTCTATCAGGTTGCTTTGAGTTATGTAAGAATATCCACAGTGCAGCATGGTAAAGCTCCAGGAGGTCCTGGAGGTTATCCAGCAGGTTCTGGTAAGACAGGTAGGGGAATGTCTCGGGAAGAAGACAACCAAGTGTGCGTTCTGCATTGCAGCTGTTCAAGTTCTGGCAACCTGTAACTCAGTATCTTCTCAACCAAAGCCTGTGTCAACACCTTCATTATCCCTCCCATGAATTTACTTGATTGCCTTTAAATTCTCCTGCTTTTTGGCCTGATTGTTATTTTGTTGGCTTTGCTGTTGCTATTCATGTCTTCTGCAGGTTTTAGATTTATATACCACCATGTCTAAGACTTCCAAACAGCACCTTGACCATTTAGCTTTTTGCAAGACTGATACTACATGCCTTTATAAAATCAATTGAAGAACAAATCTCGATGAAAATATTTCTTTAAGAGCCCAGTAGAAATTATCTATGTAATACCTTCTGTTTACTTTCACCAAAAATAATGGCTTTTCCAATAACATGTTTGGTACCTTTGTTGCTTTATTCAAAGGCTTTAAACACATACATTTTCAAAGATTATCCCAGACTTGAACTCCAGTAATGCAAATATGGATAAGCAATAAATTCACTTTTCGCCATTTTGGAGGTGAACATATAACAGAAAGCAAAACTGTCATGACAACCTGTGATGTCCTCTGGATATTGTTTTACCTGTCTTTTGTTATTGGAAGAAATGAACTCATGTTAACACATCTTCTCACATCACCACCATATAATTTATAATTTATAGGTTAAAAATACTTAAACTTCATTCTTCAAGTTCATAGTGCTTTACTTTCTAGGGAGACTGAGCAATTTGTGCCAAAACCTGCACCAAACAGCTGGAAAAATGGTCAAGGCCAGAAACTTCTCAAGGCTTGATAAGAGGCATACGTAATCACAAGATAGCTGTGAGAAATGGTGTCAAGTGGCCCTGAAACACATCTGCTACAAGAGCCAACACTGATTTAAACCAGAAACTTCTGTAATACAGCTATTGACGTATCCATGCCTGTTAGTGCATATTGCCTCTAACCTTGATTTTCTCAATGCTATTGTTGGTCTAGGCATCTTAGATCAATGCTTGATTTCTTTGTTTCACCTTCTTTTCTGTGACAATGGTTCTATTTTAGGAAGTGAGAAGAGATGGAAAGAAGATAGCAGGAAAGGGGTGTCATGGTTTAAGCTGACAACTAAGTACATGCAGCCGCTTGCTCACTGTCCCCTCCCTTCTTCCCACTTCTGGGTGGGATGGGAAGGAGAATTGGAAGAACATAAAACCCGCAGGTTGAGAGAAGAACAGTTTAGTAATTGAAGTTAAGTAAAATATAATGAGACTAGAAATAATGTCTACAATAACAGTACTAGTAATAATACTAGGGAACAACAAAAAAAAGGAGAAATGAAAATTCAGAAAACACAACTGATGCACAGTACAATTGCTCACCACCCAAAGATCAATACCCAACCCGACCTGAGCAATGATTGGTCCTTTCTGAGTAAGTCCACCCAGTTTATATACTCGACATGATGTGCTGTGGTATGGAATACCCCTTTGGCTAGTTTAGGCCAGCTGTTCTGTCTGAGCTCTCTCTTCACTGGCAGAGCATGAGACTGACAAATCCTTTATCAGGGTAAGTGCTACTTACCAACAACTAAAACATTGGTGTGTTATCAGCATTGTTCTCAGTCTAAAGCCGAAACACAGCACTGCACAAGCTGCTAGGAAGAAAATTAACTGTACCCCAGCTGAAACCAGGATAAAGGGTCATGTCAAAAAGGACACAGATCACTTGAAGCACTAGTTTATGTCTAAAAAGTTTCTTTAGAAATGTATCCAGGATATAGAAAGACAGAAAGACATGGGAAAAAAACCCAACATCTTTCATCTCTCCAGACATATTTCTCTCCCTCTGTGAAATCAAATTAATTTTACTGATGGTTCAATGCACTTTGTATTCACATGTAACAAAGGGAGACCCAGCTTGTAGCAGAGGGAATAATACAAGACAGTTCATCTCTCCTTCCCAGCCTTGGAAAAATTTGGATACTCAGATCATGCAATGAGGAGTTAATGAAAGCAGAAGCACAGCTGAAATTGTGGGGGAAGCAGTCAAGAAAGGA